GTATAACTTAATTTTTTTAACCTATTTTTTGGCATTGTATAACTTCATTTTTTATCTAAAATTTTCTAGCATGGTATAAATTCATTTTTTTTATATCCTACATGTGTTTGTAAAATTTAAACAATTTTTATAAATCCCAGGCTCTGAAGATGATCTCAATAAAGATCGAAACGTTGGCACGATATAGAAAACGTTTTTCTGTAACCTACATCACACCAGACCGCATCTCACGATTTCTGAATAACCTTACATAAAGACTAATTAATTAAAAGTCAATTGGACCACGAAATATAATAGATTTAACAACGATTATTATAGAGAGAGAACCACTGCCAAATTTCCAACTTCTTACAACCCTACCCACATCAAGGTGTATTCTCCAAAGAACTCACCGAAAAAATTAATAACCGGCACAATAGACAAAAGATAGATCAAAAGGATAAAATCTCTTAAAACTCTTTTTTTGGTGAAAAAGGTGAGTAGTATATTTATGTTTTTCTACTTCTAATGTTACATAAAAAAAGAATTGTTTTTCAGAGTAATTAATGCTAACAGCTTTTTCTGCTGTTAACCCTGGCAAGTGTCGCAAGAACGATACATTGCTGTGTTACATTAACATGCTTTAAAATAAATTGAAAAATTTTTGTATCCGTGTTGCTAGTTACATTTGGAATCAGAGGTCTTAAGGCATAAACGTCTAGTTTACAGTACTGTTGGCGCGGAACGAGTATACATTGTGGTCTAACCATCGCAAGTGTACTTCATCGGGCTCCACAAACAAGATTAGGGAAGTCAGCTCTGGCCATTAATTAAAGAGTGACTCTAAGTAAGTTAAATGGGAAGAGGGGGATGGGGAAATATATGAGGTGAAAAATTTAAGCGTTGAAGGTTGTTCTTTTAACTCAGGGGTATTTAATTAAGGGAAATTTATTAAACTTTAATATTGTTTTTGCTCATTGTTCTCAAAAGTGTGTAGAAAGAATGGTAATTTTTTTAATGTTACAATAAAGCCGAAATGCCTCATTCTATAACTAAAACCAAAAGATCTTTAATAGAATTTTTAAAAAACCGGCCGAGGCCGGGCCTAACATAAGGGTCTGTGTTTATCTTCAGCGTCGAACGTATGGAAATCGAATGTTGACGCCCTAATTGACGGGGGCCCTTCTGTTTGCACCCCGTTAAATTCAGTTAGGTTCTGCTGGTCAATCAAAAGTTACGGGAGTTGCACATCTCTTGTACACAACTGGTTATTTACTATTTGTTCGCACGGGTCAATTTTTTCTCCCTTTTACAAATACATTTGCAGGTTCATGAACATTGATTTGTATTCCATAAAAATCATACTAAAGAATACCTTTTTTACTTTTAAAATCAAATACCACTTTTCATATCAAAAATACTCCCTTGCAATGCGAGAAACTTTCTAAATTAAATTTTAAAAAAATATTTGTTCCAGTGCATTCCCTCAGCCTGTAAATCCTGTACGTGATGTTATTTCAGGAGCGCAGCTTAGCGAGCAAATTAGATGGCTGATAGAATTAAACATCCTTGGTTAAACACATTGTCCTTTTTTTGAACTTTCATCTTCTACATCAATGTTATCAGGACGAACCAGTACGGAAACCCTTATTTAAGTTTATAGTTTATTCACGATGTTAGTAAGATGTTAACGTGTTAACTCCAATAGAGAAAAGTTCAGTAAGATCGTGAATGCCCCCGTCTTTTCTTGGCATGTTAAACGTTAATTTTTCCGCGATGCTGCGCGTGGCGATTAGTTGTTGTTGTTCAGTCGCACAGTCCAGTACGACTCTTTGCGACCCCACGGACCAAGTACCGCCAGGCCCTCCTGTCTTCTGCTGTCCTCTGAAATGGACTCAATTTCATGTTCGTTGCAACTATGAAACTGTCTAACCATCTCATCCTTTGCCGTCCCCGTCTTCTTTGGCCTTCAATCTTTCCCAGCGTCAGGGTTTTCTCCAGGGAGGGCTCCCTTCTCATTTGGACTTGCAAGGACTGTCAAGAGTCTTCTCCAGCACCATAGTTCAAAAGAATCTATTCTTCGGCGCTCGGCCTTCCTTATAGACCAACTCTCGCAGCCATACATGACTACTTGGAATACATTGCTTTGACCATGTGGACTTTTCTTGGCAGGGAGATGTCTCTACTTTTTATCATGCGATTGGTAGAACCAAAAATAAAGCTATAACAGTACTTCAAGGCTTGTTGTTTGTTTTAGTTTTCTTTTGTGTTAAATTGAAAGATGCCAGAAGTTAATAAAAAAGGAAAATTAATCAAATCTTTTATTCAAAATGCTATCTATGCACTTGAAAAGTACTAACAAATAACACGCTTCAATTCGTGCCGACATAAATAACTTCTATCTTAAGGTCTAACAGCCTACAACTTTATAGGTTAGGGGGTGTATCTAATGAATGAGAGTATAAGTCAGGAATTAACAAAAGAAATGTATTGGACTAATTTAATTAATGCGTTATTATATTTTAAGAATAAAAATACATCTAAACAAAAAACAGCTGTTAAATTCATGGCTGCCATGTTGGTTACTTACGCCCTAACGGATAGCAATGTGACTACATTTTCGATCTAACATCTAACATTGGTCTTGGCCTGTTAGATCGAGCAATGTTAACTAGCCGATTCTTACAACTATATGTCATCATTTTTCTCGATCTAACAAGAACTAACAGAGTTAACACAAAGATCGTGAATACCATTTACATATGACCAAGACACTCCCTTCAAGGATATAAGCCCTTTACTCGGTGCCATGTCGTTAATTTCTTAAAGCTGCGTTTAACTAATGTAAATATTAATCTGTGGTGATTAGTGACCGTTAGCCAATGATTATTTGGACTTCGTGAGGTGCGGTCTGGTGTGACGTAGGTTTTAGAAAAACATTTTCTTTATCATGCCAACGTTTCAATCTTTAATGAGTTCATCTTCAGGACTCAAAGTGTTTGTTTTCCGTGAAGATGTGTAATCCTTGTGTGTCGTGTTGAGAGTGTGATCTCCAAATAGTAAACGTTAATTGTATTTGTTCAAGTAGGTTATCTCAATCAATTTTTACTTGGGATTTTGGGTTTCAAATCTGAAATCACAATTTTTCAAATCAGTGTGTCAATTTAGCTGCGTACTCTGTTCATTTTCAATCACGAACTTAGCAAGTGCCTAATTGCTTCTTGACTGATGAACCCGAGCAATAATTCACTTCACCTTGATCTCAGCATGTCAACTGACCTTTCGTTTATCGAATGCTTGCCATATTACAGACGATTGCACAGTAATACCACACCATACCATACCCCGACAGAATGAGACAAAACGATTAATACCGAATTGCACAATAAAATGATTGGTGTTTTTAAGCTTTGAACTGTTGAATTTTGAATAAAACAATAAAAAATAATTATTGGGTTGTAATAACGGTCGATTGCACTTTGTTCAAAGCGTCTAATTATTATATGGTAAATTGATTAGATATTAATTGGTATACATCGAGGAGAACGTCCTTCATGGATGAATAAAAGCAAGAATGAAATATCACTCAAAATTTCTTATTACATGAAACATTTATTTTCGCATAAATGTTTATAGGACAAAAGTAAACAAATGTTCGTTGTTGAATAGCGCTTATTCAGCATTACATCAATCTGTTAAACCAAAAATGCGGCGGATGGCAGGAAAGGCGGGTTTTTGCTTTTGTTTGCTCAGAGCCTTCCTTCTAAACTCGTTAATCTTCGTCATCTGAGTATCGAGAACAGGCAAGATCCTACAACATTTACAACACCCATCCCATTTCGTCGGGACGCTTTATGAAACTCACCCTTCTTGGTTGCATTCGTACATTCCAGGGGCGAATGTGCATTTCCTTGTGAACGTTTCCAGGTTAATCTCAGCGGTGTATTTTTTCGATCTAAATTATAGGAATGTTAAAAGTCTCATCTAACCATTGATTCTTTTACACCGGTCCGAGTGTAAATCCTTTTTAAAAAGTATACACAACATGCTACACGTGTAAAAACAAATTACTATTTTGTTCAGGCACAGCTTACGATTATACAGTTAACAGATTGTTATCTTAAAGTGTAAAAGTTTATACAGAGGATATCTGTGACGTAAAAATTAAGTAAGGATTATATTTGAACTTTTATTCTATTCCAACAATTAAGAAAAAAAATTGGCTGTTTCACAATAACCTAAACACCTTGAACTTATACTTCTTTTTTAATTTCTAATATTTCTCTTTGTAGTTTATCGTTTATGTCCGGGTTTTATTCAAAGGATATAATTTTAGAAATGATTAGATACAATTGTTACAATTTTTGTGTTGGTTTTGTGTATTTATCTTGAGATTAGGAGTTGGTGTCTGAGTGTATCTAGATCATGTTAGTTCAAGTGGTTAGAGCAGCAGCATATTGAGCCGAAGGTCGTGAGTTCTAATCCCGCTCTTGACACTAGCTTTTTCAATCCTTTTCAAAAAGGATTGAACACCGCACTCACTCCATCATTCATCATTTCTACTAGCTTTTTCATCTCAACCAAAACCTTAGATAAAACGTATAATTAATTTAAATAAGAAGTAACGTTGAAGTTGTAATTATCTAAATTCACTAATTTCGTGGTCCGCTTGACCAATTAAATCATTACAATTAATTAAGGTTTTTAGTTGAGATGAAAAAAAGGAGAAAAGTGGCAAAAAGGAGGGAAAACTCAAAAGGTGGGGTTGAGATGGAAAGTTGATGTCCGAGTGGATCGAGGTCACGATAGCTCAAGTGGTAGAGCAGCGGCGTATCTAGCCGAAGATCGTGTGTTCGAATCCCGCTCGTGCCATTAACTTTTTTTCATCTCAACTAAAACCTTAATTAATTGTATTAATTATTAAATTTCATTTTTTTTAAATAAACGCGAGTCTTTTTTTTAAATGTCTTTCAATAATAATAATAATGTCATAACACCTAACTGTATTATTTGCTTTAAAAAGCAATATGCAAATAATTAAATATTGATTTTGATAATTAAAAAAGTTGTTACTTGTCGTAAATTTTTATATTGAGCACTGTTTTCTAAGTGTATACAAGAGGATACAAATAGGCTATCTCGAAAGATTTTCCCCCGGGTGTAAATTTCCAATAAATAGTTATTGCAGTAATAGAGTATGCGATAATGCAGGTTGTTGTAGCACATAAAGATGCCAGGTTTCTAAAGTTATGGTTGGAAAGCTATAGAGATAGCTACAAGCCGACACTTTGGTACTACAATGCCGGAGAGCTGCCGACGAGAATCCTTGAGAAACGGCCGTTTCTTGTCCACAAGGAGCCGAAGCTTTTTGGCGTTTACGGTGTAGTTAGGTGAGTAAAGTCGAAAGGAAATATTTCCAATTTAGTAAAATAATCAAGATAGAAATTTAACGATAGATAATATATCACTTTTTTAAATTAAACCGTTCATATACATTTTGTATTAAAGTTTTATAATTTAAATCGACTTAAAATTGATGGATTGTTTAAAAAAATAACAGAAAAAAATTTATTCCTAAACGAAATTATAAATGACAAGGTTGTGCGCCGTATTTACATATACAATTGCACGAAATGAAGGCTTCCAGCACATCTATCTTCATCGAAGTAATTATTCTATGAGTATTTGCAATGCAGATAAGAAGTGATACAACGAAATCACGCTATCAATTGTTTCTCTGGTCTCATTGCGCGCATACCAAGCCACACGCGCGCGCGCGCGATTTGCATTTTCAGTAGTACATGTATACTAAATACTAAATAAATATACTCGTCGCCGTAGAATTCAACTCTAATGATAATAAATATCTAAATATTTATTACAGTCGTATAAAATGAACCGACAATTAATTTGTATTATTTTTTTTTTCAGAAAAATATTTGAGACACCGTTTACAGAATGGAGGACGTACTACGCCTTTCATCTTATGGCGCGACATCAGTTCTTGTTCAAAAATATAACCAAGGAGGCAACGTACCCTGTCAAATTTAACGAAAGTAATATTCATAAGTATCCGATAGCTTTCAGAGATATGGTGTATGATGTATATCCATATAAAACAAATATTAAAAATGTACAAGCTAAAAACAAGGAAAAGTTCAAAATCAAACCAAAGAAACCGAATTGATATGTAAATCTTTAGTATTTCAAAAATATTTAAATAAACTTTATTTTAATTAATCTTTATGTAAGATATTTGTTGAGATAAAAAAGTCAGTGCCACGAGCGGGATTCGAACCCACGACCTTCGGCTAAATACTTCTGCTTCTGGCTAACTTCCCATCTCAATCCTTTCGAATTGTCCCTTCTTTTTGCCATTTGTCAAATGTCGTGTAATCAGGGTTCGATTCTCGGCGACAAATGGAATGACCACGGAGAGTTTTAGTGAAGATATACATCGTTTTACTTATTAAATCCATTATTTTTCGTGGTCCGATTGGCCAAATAACACCTTTCAATTAATTAATCTTTATGTAAGGTATTGGTTGAGATAAAAAATTTAGTGACTGAGTAGATCGAAGTCACGATAGCTCAAGTGGTAGAGCAGCGACGTATTTAGCCGAAGGTCGTGGGTTCGAATCCCGCTTGTGACTTTTTTTATCTCAACCAATACCTTAAATAAAAATTAATTAATTGATATATTTGATCAATCGGACCACGAAATCTAATGGATTTATTTTAAATACATTTATAGTTGAAAGGACTTTTTCTTCTTTTTGAAATAACGCACAAAAAGAAAAATTATAGCCAGACAAAAAACCGGACAAAGAGGGAACAAAATAAATTCTGCTGTTCTAGCTTAATGGTGTTTTATTTTTTTCATTTCGAGAAAGAATAATTGTAGTCACGAACTTGAAATGAATGCTTCATTAAGAGGTCTATTTATTATTCTTTCTTTTGAATATTTTACTATTAGCATACCTAAGCAAGGCCCTCAATGTCAAAACTTATAATAATATGAAGTTTAATAATAAAAACTAGATAAACACAGTAAATTTGTGGTAGATATGCTATGCTTCGGAGGGTCTAGTTAAGTCTAGTTAAAAAACCATACGTCTCACTATAAAGTAACTTTCCGAAAATGAAGTGATTCTTACAAAATATTTATTAATTGATCATGTCATTAGGATGACATATACCAAAGAATTTCAAGCTTTTCTTGCTTGGAAAAAAATAACCAGACATGCAATACACTTTATTTAAACAATAAAAAACTTTTCACTTGAAGAAGAATATCACAGGCCAACTAAATATAATATCAAAGGGTCTTAAATAAATGTAAAATTAGAGTACGTTGAGAACATAGTCAACTCTTTGAGTATAGTAGCAAAAACTAAACTGCATTCGAACACGACATACTTACAAACGTTTTTTTTCCAGCACTCTGTTTCTAAATACTTCAAATACTCTTGTTAAAAAACCTGAAATAGCTCCATCCAGAAAAGAAGAGACGGGAATAAAAATATCTTTTCCGGCTGCAATCGTGGAAAAGCGAAATGATCCCATTCTGGGCATTGCACAAGTAAATCGCGTATTTAGTGACTACTATCGGGCTATAGTAGACTTTCAGAAAGGCCCATTAGGGCCAGGTTAAAGCTTTAATCAAAATAATTCAAGGTGAAGAGATTTAAGAGAGAAAAATGTACAACTTTAGCTTAAGCGACAGAAATTTCAACAACCATTCCTGTTGTAATTTGCTTTAAAAACGTTTATACTTCTTCATTTATTAAAGTACAAATGACAAAAGATAAAAAGTCTATTTTTATATAAAAATTCAGTACAAAAGCGATCTTGGAAATAAAACGTACCCTCATTAACTACTTCCAAGTGTAAACATAACCGAAAGCGTTTTGATTGAATAGGAATTCTCTTCTAATAATTACTACCTGCGATCGAAACAATCAATTACATAAAATATCCTTTACAAAACAAGCTAGTAAATTATGCTAATAAGAAAAAATCCTATGGGGGTTTTCTTGATATCTTTTTGCTTATATGAGCAATGGTTTGGTATGGTATGATAATAAAAAGGATGCTAGCAGGCGGGGTTTGTGCTCCCCAGGAACTGCAAGCCTTTTGGCTTATTGTAGTTTCCTAGTTCCTAAGTTTTGTGACGCTGCAGCGTGACGCTACAACCTCATATGTCAGCCCGTCTAGGCGCACTCCTGAAAAGGTAATAGATGATTGTGGGAAGCAAAAGGCCAGTGTGTTCCCGGAAGTGTAAGAGTCAAGAAGTGGACAGCTTATTACTTGAAATACCAAAGCCCAAAGGCACTCAGATAAGTAGAGGCCTGACCGAAGAGTGTCAATTATTGTTATTGTTAATTGTTTTCAAGGTTCACTTTCATTTTAGTTTTAATTTCGTTTATCCCCGTGTGGCATAAGAGTTCTTTTTATTATCCTGTCCATGTCGTTAATAAATTTTGTTTTAATTTTATTCGTTAAACGATTAATTAACCTTCCTTCCCTTCCCAAACTAATTTTGAGGGAAAACCTTACGGTTAAGCCATAACTGGCTTAAACGAGTATGGCCACCGTTTGGTCGATCATCACAGTTTCAGAGAAATAGACTCAATCCTTCTCTTTAGAAGTATCAGATCATTGACTGTCGCTGCTGCAATTTGATTCTCTAAGTTTTTTCCGTACATTAGGTTAAATCTCCATTGAGCTGTTGTTTCGCATTCGAAGATGATACGAGTGGCTGTTTCCTCCTCCTCATTACATAATCTGCAAATGGGATCATCGTTGTATATACCCATGTGGTGTAAATGTTTTCTCAGATGCCAGTGACCGGTCAGTAGTCCTATCACTCCTCTGAGTTTGGCCCTCTCCAATTGCAGCAATGATTTTCCCAGTTTACTATGTCTAGCGCCGCTAGAGTTTATCCACTTCTCCTTTTGTTTCGATCCATTCTGCGATGGAGGATTCTATATTTGTTTTTGTTATCCCAAGTAAAGGTTCGAGGCCTATGTATGGTCTTGCAGATTCTCCTCTGTTCAGACTGTCTGCTTTCTCATTACCCAAAATTCCCCTGTGCCCTGGCACCCAAGATATCATCAGGTGTTGTGTTTCCCCAGGTTTTGGAGATTTTGGATGCACTCACTGACTAATTTGGAGGATTCTTTTACATGCTAATGCTTTAATGGATGCTTGGCTATCAGATCTTATGAGGATTTTGTTTTGCCAGTGTAACCTCTTTTAATATTTTCCAGAGCACAAGCATTGGTGTATTTCTGCTTGAAAGACTTTGACGCAAAGAAAATAGTAGAGCCAAAACGATATAATTCAGAGACCTCCAGCATGTAGTAATCTGATTTATATTAGAAATTATTCATAAAAAAAATTTTAATAATATCAAAAATGCATTACTATCTCATCTAATAAATATAATAAAAGATAATCTTATACAACTTACTGACTGCAATCGCAAGTAGGATTTTTTAATTAACTTATTTATTACTGTCTGTACAAAAAATATATATTGAGCAGTTAGTACATGTACATATATACAAAGCTCTATAATACTATGAAGCAGGGGAAAAGCCAACCAGTGTTGAAACTCTATTTTATTTCGTTGGGACTAGGATAGGGTTACAGCTATTTTAGACCCTTAGGATAAGGATAGGGCACTTAGGAAAGACCTTAGACTAGTTGGTTAGTGTGGTCTACGAATGGGATGTTTGAGTTCATGTGAATCGTGAGAGTGTGGCGTACAATAGACCTTTGACCATCCGGCGGATGACTGGATTGAAAAGAATTTCTAACTTGATAAGAAAACTGGAGTACCATACTCGAATATTTCCGTAACCGCCAGAAATATGGTTGAGTAATATTATTAATTTTCTAGAGCCTAGGATATCGTATCAAGTACTGTAAAGATCTGCCAAAGGAGAACCATAGTAGCCGAGTGGTTAGTGCATAGTAAGTAGTGTAAGGATCGGTCCTAGGATTCTTCCTTGCGGGACGCCAGTTTTTATTGACTTGATAAGTTAAAAATGAGAGCCGATGTTCACATTAAACAAAGGATCCCAGAGAAAAGACTACAGGTTGGGATAGTAGGTGTGAGATACGACACATTTTAACTACAATTTTCGTGAATATTTCCGTAAGGTCCAAGAAATAAAGCTTAGCAATATTTAATATTAGATAACCGAGGATATATATCAACTATCTAAAGGTCTGCTGAAGAGTAAAATGGAGGGATAGAAACCCAAATTGATGGGTGGAGACTAAGTTTTGAAAGTAGAATATGAGAATTTGTCGTTTAAAGACATTCAAAGATTTTGGATACAATAAAAAAGAAATTTATTGGTCTATAAGAAAAGGGGCACCGGGGATTTGTGGAGTTTTGGAATTGGGGTTAGTTTCCGCTATATGGGGAAATTGGGAAATAGGTTGTGCGAATTATTGCATAGTAAATAGTCGTAATGTACACTATTGATTTTTTGGGTAGGGAGGATTGTGGAAGATATATTTTTGGAAAAACGGAAAATCTGGAGCTTGGCGTATGAGGGGTAGATCGGCTTAGGAGAGTGAAAGAATGAGAGAGGAGTCAAGGAATCCAACGATATGATTTGAGTGCAAATAGAATAATAAAAAAAAAATTCCATAACCATAAATGTTGTCTATACAAACATTAATTTATTTTCGAAACACGAGCAACAATGGCCATTGGACTATTACAAATGCAAAGGGGTGTAATTTGAGAAGATGCCAGTTGAAAGCTCGGCAATGTTTGTCGTTGAGGTGACGTAAAAGAAGAGAGCAAGTGAACGAAAACAAACTTGGACTTTAACCAAAGATGGTCTAAGTTGAGGAACGACCCCTCTTCCCCGTGGGCTAACTTGACGCTCTCTAACTTCCAATCTGGCGTAAGAATTTCTCTTTTGATATTCATACTGGAGTAGGCGCCTCAGGGGAGAATCTTTCCAAGCGATGAGCTGTAACTCCTGCGTTCATTTACATATTTAGCGGTTTCAATCAACTGTCTAAAGAAGTTGGCTCAAGAAAAGAAATGATTTTTATGGAAATATTTATATGACAAAAGTTTTATTAAGTACAAAAACCTCAACAACTTATTGTAATTACTCTAATAAAGACTTTTTTAATGGGTATAAAAGAATTTTACTTTTAAAAATTGAGACAAAATGTAATTTCTTTAGATTTAACTACTACTAAACC